TACAAATCAATTATATGAAAGCTAGATATACAGTATGTGATCTTCAATTTTGAGAACTACTTTGTATTCGTCAATTTTGTTTAATCTATATGACTGACGTCGCTTTTTGATGACAGAGTTACGAGGATGTGGGTCATCTGATAGTGAATCGTACTTTTGTAAGGCCAGCTAGAAAATTATCAAAAAACAGCATTAAGTTATCAATTAAATACACTCGGATCACGGCAATAGTCAAAGACAGAAAACTGTGGACAAATGCTGTTGTGTATTTTAGAAAATAAATGCAAATCATCTGCGACTAGGACTAGTATATTCAGTCGTTTCAGAGTTTGAATGAATGTTGGATGATCAAATATTATGGACGAGAATAATTATGAACTGCTCATAGCAAACTTTGTAACATTTTGACATGCACCAGAAGAGAGAAGATAAAAGTACTTTGTGGCGAATATGAAACAAACTTTGCGCTTTAGCTGAAAAATTTAACGAGTTAAGTTTTGTTTCTAGTAAATCAACATTGAGCGCTGCAATCAATTTGGAAATGACGCAAGGAGATCTATAAGATACTAAACAAATGTACTGTAGTTTTCGTTTGACAAACTCAGCTGTCCTACATTAAAAGAATATGCTCAGATGAAGAGTTTGTACTTAGATGCATAAAATACAATATAAGCTCTTTCAAAATCAATGAACTCATCTTATAATATTTTGAATAGTCTGATGTATCATGTATCATAAGAAGTCCTACATGAAAAGTTGTTCTAGATATTATCTCAAAGGTTACGTTAGACAATAATCTTAATAAAAACAAATCTTACATTCTCTATGATTTTCTAAGTGATATTCTAAATCAGAATATATACAATTTCAAAGCAATTAAAGTCATGTAATATTATGTTTTACTATCTTCAGGACACTAAAATCTTACATAAATAATGTTGAACTCGAAGACATGAAGCAAAACTAGTGTATATATTAGGAAAAATCATTGACGTATAAGATCCACAGAATCTATGGACTTTAAACAAGCTTTGCTGAATAGTATCGACATTTCAAACTCACCACATTTAAGTTTAACTTGAAAATTATACTTATAGAATCTGTAGAGTGTGGATATGGATGTGGGTATCCTCTTCATCCACATTCCACACCCATACCTTAAATATCTATCGATCTTCCTGAATACATAATGTTTGTATGGTTCAAAAAAGTTCGTTTTCTTCTTGGGGGACGGTGTAGGTATTGTCTTTGAACACACCCTAGAGTACCCAACTGGTGACGGAAGCAACAAGATGAACTCACGGATTCTCATTTTCGTCACGTCTTATACGTACATCGTACGAGTCTATCCAGTTCGTGCATGGCCATGCGACCGATTCTTCACCGTATGCGCCAGTCTCTGGTTGCGCACGTCCACGTAAGTGCATATTGAGGAGCAAGAAGGTTGGAGGGAGAAAAAGAACAGCAGCTTCGTGAGAAGAACGTTTTTTTGAAAAAAGAAAGTCTACGTTCTCAAAACACACCAAAAGAAATTGAAAAACAAATTCCATTTATTTGTTGAACACAAAACAATCAAACAAACTATTCTCTAAAGTCGATGACATAAGATTGCCGTGCCGATCGAATGACAAATCAGTGGGAGTATTTAACTGGTCTGTTTTTTCTCCTGGATCATTTTCACTAGCAATCATATTTCCCTACGCTGCTCCTTTGCATCAACGCATTACTCGATGATTCCGACAATCTACAACATAAGCTGTACCTGACACATCAACGAACACTCCTTTGGGAGACAACAATTGATTCAGACAATTTCCTTCTCCTCGACTACCAGCTACGACAATTCCTTCTTTTGCACCTTTCTTCCCCTTCATCATACGGTTATTGAACCGGTCTGAGACGTAGAGAGAATAATCCTCATCGACAAAGATGAAGGTGGGATTATTGAGTTGATTGAGACGATCATCTTTTCCATTGCCACCTGCTACTACTATTCCATTTGTCTTTCTCTTTCGATATTGTCTCGCTTCATGCTTATTGGCAACAGAGACGTAAAGAAATCCCCGATCGTCCATTGTCAATCCCAAACAATCGATATTCCTGATGATAGCTTCTTCATTTGTGCGGTTTCGACGAGACCATCGCATCACTCTTCGGCTCAATTGATTGCTGATGATAGGACTGTCTGTTTCTTTGTCGACAATCACATCTATGGGACAGCTCAACTGATTAGCTAGATTTCCGTTTTCGTTGCCACCAGCTACCACTCGTCCGCTTGTTGAACCGGACTTCCATTCCACAATACGGTGATTGCCAGTGTCAGCGATGTAAACAGTTTGATCGTCATCCACATAGATGCTCCAAGGTCTAGTGAGTTGGTTGGGTCCACTGTCTTGTTCGTGGCCTCCAGCGATGGTCACGTCATTCTGTGCCCATCTGGCATTTTTTAAAATATTCGGGATGATATCTGCACAAAGAAAGTAAGGAAATGTTTGATAAATTTTATCACATCCTGATGAAATTTTCATCGAATTCGGTTGAGATTTTTCGAAATGTCTTCGAATCTTCTCAAATTTTTGCAAATGACGCAAAATTTTTAAGAACCAGTTTTCTGAATTTTAATGCAATTATTTCCCTGTTCCTCGGAATCTCCATGAGTTTTATTAGATATTTGTCAACTTTGTTTTTCGACAATTTTCTGGAATACTCGAAATTTACGTCGACATCCGATAGGTTTCAAGATTTATTCTGGATTTCCTGGAACTACATGTAATTTTTTCGATTATCAGTTAGTTTTTCTGCCTTTTCATCGGAATTAATGGGAGATTTTTTCTGCATTTTCTGAACTTCTTGTAGGTTTGAAAAGTTTCTCAAACGTGTTCTTTATCTTGAAAGATCTGTGTGGGTCTTGCGGTATTTAGCGGCGCCTCATGCATTTTTATGTCAATTTCGCAATATCTACGCATTTTTTTTAATTTACAGAATTTGCCAAAGTTTCCCTTGAACTTTCAGGAATCTAACATAAATAATTCTCTTCAACTCCCAAAACATTCAATAATCTGCAAATTGTCCAAATTTACATCAAATTGTGCGGGATTCATAGTAATTGTCTGATTCCGTGGTGACTCTTTCTGATTTATTACGTATTCTGAGCGGTTTGCTAGAAGGCTCTTAGAAAGCTCTAAGCAGTTTCTAGCATATTCTTGCTTTGTATTTTATTTGCTGAGTTTTCCATCCATCTCATTAAAAGTTTTGCAGACATCTTGGAATTTTCCCGAGTTTTGTAAAGTTACTCTGAAAATTTCTGGGCTGTGTCGCGTTTTCTACAATTGTTTCCATTTTCGTAGGATTTTCCCAGATTTACAGAAATCGTTCGAATCGTGTTGAGTTTTCTTGATTCTGTAGGACTTTTTCGAATTTTCGCGGATATTCTGCTGTTCGCTGGAAGTTTCTTGAAATTTCGTCGTTTGTTCTCATTTTTCTTGCAATTTTTTTGAAACACTTCACAACACCTGAATAAACATAGTTGTACTTGCTTTGACTCGTCCGTATTTTCAAGGATTTTTGTTTGGAATTTCTCGCAATCTGCTCGAATTTTCAGAAAGGTGAAGTGACAACCACGTTTTCTTATTTCACCAAATTCGAATCAAGTAACACTTTTGCATCTATGGGGGCATTCTTCTGAGACTTTTTGTCAGGTCTCTACTTCGAAATTTGATATCAGAATTTTCTATACTTCAAGTGATTAGTCGGGATCAAAATAAAGTGTCATCTGTAATTCAAAAGGTTTTCACCCGATCTCACAGAATTTATCGGTCTGATCAAGATAGAATATGATTCTGTTATTGAAGTTAGCTAGAATAATAGGAAACATAATAAAACACTATTTCTGCAAGTCTCTATAGGTTTTCATAGGAAATACATTTTGTTCTCGCTCAAAGCTCTTTTAACAGGTTGACTACTGTTGCTTCTGTTCAGAGAGATATAGGACGGTTGGAAACCATGTACGCATAGCAAATAGCACAAACCCAATAGGTAGACCGTACGACTCCTAATCTAAACCATGGTAATTCTTAGAGAAACCCTAGAGTAATCATTTAGGATCCTAATTGCTAGGGCCTCATCAAGTTTGATCCCGTTTTTTTGCCTCTTTGCTTATGGTATCTTTTCGTTTTGCCAGGATTTTCGTAGAAAAAACAACAAGTATCCTGAAAAAGCTTTAGTGAATTTCTCTAAGTGTCTGCATGACATTTTACTGTGATGATCTTGCTTGAAATACAAGAACGATATCTGTTTGGAGCCTTTGCAGAATATTCACTGTAAAACTGCATCTATTGTATAAATTCAAATCACTTGTGAGCAGATCCTAAAGTATCGATCAGGATCTCTCGGTTACGACGATCGTAGCAAAGCTTTGAAAAGAATTATAGTACTGGCGCATATTTGGTGTCTTCTACTCTTTGATAGCAGACCTTTTCAAAGATAGACAAACTTCAACTTAATCATCATGGTTCGAAGAAGCAGGTTAAACGTGCACAATTCAGAAGCCGAATATTCAATGTGTCTACTCCTGTAGTATTGTGTCATTTAGATCCTGATTGGATCTTGACAAGGTCTCTGTAAGCTCCTTTGAAGAAATCGAAGAAAGTGCTACGATATGTAACCAAAAAATCAAGAGGATTATTGAAGTGTTTTCAATCAGAAATAACTCCATCCTGATTAAATCTTTGTTAACGTGTAGTGAAGATCGCTCAGCATCTCGACAAAATTCTGTCTCAAATCTCATCTAAATTATGAGTATTTCCTATTGACATTATGAAAAACTAACGAACTTCAAATAACCTTCAGTTTTTGTGAATTGAGTGTTGGATTCTACCGATCTTAGAGGACTAGAAAATCGAAGCGAAAAGTGAACTCTTACTTCACTGTCTGAGATCAGCCTATCCCAACAGTTTTAGATTTTGTTATTCGGTCACTATTGAGAAGTTTCGGAAGGAGTACTAGATGTCTATAAATGTAATGCCAATTATTTTACTAATGTCCCAGACAGTTATCTCAAAATTCTTTTCTTTACCTAAACTCATATTGCTGAATTGCTTCGCTACGGATATAGCAGCCGAAGCACTTGCAGTTGTTGATCCAATTGCTCCTTGTTGCTCATCATCATCATCAGTAATTTCTTTCAAATATATAAGATGTAACCCACCATGATGATGTAACGGATCTGATACAACTTCAAACGTTGTACCTGGCATTAAAATAACTTCACATTCGTTCTGGGAGCATGTATACGCTGCGATAGATTTTCCAGTCAAACACTCAATAATGAATAGTGTACCCTGAAGAGATTTGTCGAGAAATGACGAAATGACATCAACAGATGTTGAGCATGAGCTCACACTCTGCCAAGTTATTTTTTGACCTTTCTTGAATGCCTGACTAACGGCTTTATTGACACCACGTCAGACAATACCTTTAAGTTTTGGTAATTTGGATGCCGCAGAATCCAAAAGCTTTAGATATGCAAACCATGGGCGAACATTAGATCTATCGTCCGCACAGAGTGCTTGGTTTAAAATATGATAAACACTTGCTTCTTCCAACATTTCCATGGTGTACAGATAAACTGTGGCAGCCTCCTCTTTGCTTAAATTGTGGTCATTCAGAAATGTACAATGTGTCTTGGCCAATTTAACAAATCGATTGATTTCTGGTAGAAGACCATGTAGGTCTTTCACAGCTTCTTCAAACGACATTAATTTCCATGTAAAGTAACCATAATATGCTGGCAGACGTTTATTTGTCACCTCAACATCTATGAAACGTTCACCTGAGCTACTCAGTGTGATGAATGGATGAGTTGTATGTTTCGTTGCTGAGCGGCTCACATGATTTTCTAAAAGAATGAAATGAAAAGAACAATTTTATCTTTTCTGTGTCTACATTTTTATTTCAATGTGCTAGTCAAGTAGTAGTATTGCATCTTCAACATAGAACTCTACGGTGTTGATGATCAGTGAAACATAATTTTTCTTTTTTACAATATTTAAAGCTTTATTTTTACCGCTTGCTCTATTCTTTCATTCTGAATATATCCCTTTGGCCGAAATCAACCGAAAACCATATACATCTTTTATTTAGTTCTCTACAATGTTGTTTTTTTATGTCATAGTTGCATAAGATAGGTCCCTTGGTAGTTAGTCTATCTGTCTTCAAGGGTTCAGCTGTAAATGACGGGAAATATATGAGAAAGTTGGTATTGTATATCTCAAGTAAATTTATCATCCTCGAAGCAAAATTAGTTGGAACAGCAGTTTCAATGATATTTTAAATTTTGTTTCTGGTTTTTGGCGATCACTGTCTTGTAATAGACCTACAGTTACAATGATGATCTAATTACATCGATTGAACAATTCTTCACTATTGTCAAATATTTTCAAGTACAGTATTTAACTGAATCAAATTTCATGATGATGTTAGCATTCAGCTGCTCTGTAAAATGAACTTAAAATGGAAAGAGTCTCGAAATTTTTGTTCTGAGCAAAACAACCATCGCATTTTTATTGCTATTGATTATTCAAAGCTCAGGTTACTATGAAGCTGAAGCTTAACAGCATTATAAAATTTGACACAGTCAAATATCCTGCTTGGAAACATCTGACAACAGTCTAGTGTTCTTGGATCGGCATCGAGCCTCTCAACGATAATCATGCACTTTCCGAAGAATTAGACTTACAAACCGACAATTCTAATACCCGATCATCGGCAATTTAAGTTATCATTATAACTGCAGGCTTATTACGAGACAGTTGTTTACAAAAGAACAGGAGTCGAATTTAAGATATCTTTGAAACAAGTATGCCAACTAATTTTGCTGCAAGAATACTAAATTAATTGAGATATAATGTCAACTTTCTCAAGTATTTTTTGCCATTTATGGATGAAGCTTTGAAGACTGATAGACTATCTACCAATTTATCTGTGTTATTTAACTAGAAAATCGTAACAAGACTTCAGAAAATTATTCGAGTATGAGGAAGTGCTTTCTAAAAGGATTTGAGAAATTTGAAAATATTGCTTTATTTCCACATAACGAATTTCTAGCAAGCAAAAAAACCTCAATTTTCATCAACTACTTTGAACTTGGCAATGTTCGTTTGTTTTGACTATGTAGACTCATACAGCAAACAATCCTCTAAAATACAATACGTCGTTGCATTCTCTACGATGTTTCTTGACTGAGATACATCGATTATGTGGAAGACTAGAAAGTCAGTTTTTTGCCGGTTTCCATGAGGAAGCCATTTTAAGTTCTTACGTAAAATTGATGTACGTAACTTATGTCGGCCAAGAAATATAGTAGAGAGCTGAAAGACGTGTCATCTTGTAGAGAACAGGTTATTATATAGTTCTAGGCAGTAAAAACAAACTTCTTTTTGTAGGTTCAGGAGACTGAAAATTAATGGTTTTGATTTTCTAGAGATCATATTTTGGCAGTAAAGCAATATTTTCAAATTTCTCAAATACTTGAAAGAAGCGGCTTCGTGTACTCAAACAGATTTTTGAATTATGCCTACCACATATCACTATCAAAAAATAGTAAAATTTCACCTAGTCGAATAATTGTGAGAGTCAATATCGGTGAGTGTGGATGTGTATGAAACGTAGACGTAAATAGGTGATTGAGCGTGAGAGTGCATTTGTGTATTAGTGAATGGGTGAATATGGATGTATTATTCCAAAAAAAAACAATTTAATGTCTCATTCCCTTCAGAAAATCGAATTTCATTCGTAGACAATGGACTGAGATTACCTCTTACAGACTCACTATACCGAGCCACGAAATACTCAGATTTTGATAGAGATTTTTATAAGGTTTTCATTTATCTTTGTGTTCTCTTTGAGAGATTTCTGTCAAGTTTCTGTTATTTTCCTTCCTTTACTTCTCTGCAGACTTTAAGTATTTCGTTTATAAGAATTGTGCATACAATCGGGTTTCAAAAAATAATAGTCTTTCGAATGTTTTTGCTGAGTTTCCGAAACTTGTTCTAAAAGATCTGACATAAACTTGAAAAACAGTCCGAATTTTTTAACTATTGGTTTTTCCAAACACTACCTTCTCGGAAGGAAAATTGGAGCTTCTTCTCTTGATCTCATTATATAAATCCATGATCTGTCCCATATTTTAAAGCTCAAAGTTAGGCGCATATTTTGTCGCTCTTGTAAATGCATATAAAAGAAAAAAGTGGTCGTTTTTGCTCATGAATGGAAACAGGGATAGGGACGAAACCGACCATCTTGTTCTCTAATATGTGTTGGCTATTGGTGTTTTTCCGGCATGTGTTACTGGTTCCAGAGTATTTGATACTTAATTTATTTTCGAATAAAATCTCACTAAAACAAGACTTTGATATTCTCTGCATTCAAAATATACGCATATTAACCGGTTTCATTTGAAAACCAGTCAACTCTTCTACATGTCATAATTCAAAGGATCCTTATGAATTTCCATTCGGGCCACTGATGATGCTATAACTTCAGAGAAACTCAGTATTTTGGACTGTAATTAAGACTAAAAAAGCTTAAGCCAAGGACATCTCACTACCAAGAGTTTCACGGCAAAATCAAGTATAAAACGTGGAAATGCCGTACAGAGGGGTCCACTTATTACTAATCTATCAGCATTTAATCACGATTATGTAATACTTTACGTCAAATTTGCGATCTTTTCTCTCGGTTCGCTGATCAAATTTATATTTTTGAGAGTAGTTTGCTAAGTCGATTCTCAGTCCAATAGTGAAAATGAAAAGAATTTCAATGCTGTTTCAATGATGAAAGTCATTTTGTGTCAATTATGATGCAAGCATTGAACCGATGTGAGCAATTTTACTTTTCTGGTTACGCAACCTGCTTAGTTCACAATTTTGAGATAGACTCATGAGTTGCGTGCGTAACGAATTGCGTAGAAGAAGCATTGCTCACATCACTTTGATGGTGGCGCCACCATCAAAATAAAATGGTTTTCCTTGTTGCAACAGTATTAGAAAGTTTTTCTTTTATACTGTTGGACTATAATTCAACTCATGATGGGAGTGTGAGTCTTCTCTTCAGCAATACCCACGTCCACACATTTCTTACTCACGAAAAACATGCAATATACACAAAACTCCGTCAGCAGGGAGTCATTTTAACTCGTCAAAATGTGCGGTTTTTACGCTGACAAAATGATAGAAAAACAATCTTTATTTTTGTGAACAGCAGATTTGTAGACATCGTTGTCCTCAGAAAGAAATATTTTGAAAGCGTAAAAATTTCACATTTTACAGCGTTAAAATGCTTTTTTTATTGACTTTACCTGATTGTGAATGTTATGTACCGCTTACCTACAAACATGTTTTTATAAATGAGGAGGTGAATCTATTTCTTCTGTCTTGCAAGCGACAAGAAACTTCTATTTACATCTTTTTTCGTCATTTTAAACGAAAGAGCAGAGGAAGAAACATCATCCGAACTTCGACAAATACTCTCCTTCTATTGCAGCAGCGAAAAAAGATGTTGATATAAATGAAACGATTTCTGCTGCATAGTGCCATTTATGTGCTAGAAGAAAAACAGTGTTTTTCTTCTTTTACTACCTCACAAGCTACATTTAATTTTGGTTGTTTTTAAGATCCTCGAATAACTTCTTGTCGGTTGCCAAACATCATAAATCTCATGTCATAGATCTGATTACATTACGAGTGGATGAACATGGAAGATTGTAGGTCAGAAACTGAAACGCATGAGAAAATCTCCATTCGAGTTCGATTATATTCAGTCAGCTCCATATTCGATTCATACTATCACAGAAAAAGGGCATTCTTATATTCGCACATATTGTTTACTGTTTACTTTCCAATGTTCTTTTTTTTAGCAAGCCACATAATGTTTTATTTCACTCTTCTATTCATCAAAGTTCGATAATAACGAACTCAAGAAAAATGACATTATTGTCGCTTGAAAGATGGAAATTTAATCCACTTAGACCATCTATCGAAATGAGGCGAACGAAAGCTGATTTCTACAAAAATTAACCGAAACATTTTATCATAAAAGAGCAGCTACTTCTTTGGGTAAAAAATATTTATTCGAAAGAAACCTAGATGAAGGGTGAACGATGGGAAACGGTTGAATTCATCGAATTCTCGACATTTCCTATAGTCAGAAACGATAGCCTGACCCATTTGTCGTTTTTAACATCGTTGCTGACTTGAGATACATCAATCTAGCCCGACGAACGGCTATGAGCCGAATCTCGTCGTTTTCGAAGCATGAGTTCTGTCTTTTCCACAGCCCGGATCCTTTAGTTTTCCCCTCACATTCTTCTCTAGCCAACGGCGTGCGTCTTAAATGACTATAGCAAAAATAACGTTTGTTGCTTATTTAAACTTTCCTGTAAGGCGTGATAACCATAGTTATATAAAGAAAAAACATGAAGAAAAAAGTATCAGTGGTATTCAAATAAGCATTCACTTCAATAACAAATATTTCAGGGAGCACATTATATTATTGGAAGTCATTATTTCACTACTGGTTCTTGTGTGGGTTTTAGAGATATTTTGCATTTACATCCAATAATATCAACGATTGATAAATGTTTATTTACCAATGAGTTCATTTAGTCATTTTTCTATTTGTTGATCTTGAAGATTGATGAAATTATTGAACTGATTATTGTTTCACTTATAAAAATATTGTCAAATATTACTCTTCTCTTAATTAATTCAACACAGTCATATCCCTTAATGAAAATGATCATATAGAAATTGAACTTTGGAAAAAATATCGTTGAGCTTGTAATTGTCTTGACTATAAATTTCATCTATTAAATTTATCAAATGATATAACAACATTATTAAGAAAGATGAATTTTGATAAAATTCTGTGTACATTTATTTTTTTCCGCATGCGGAAGTATATGTTTACGACAGTGGCAGCATACCAAGTCATAGGCGGCTGCGTCTACTCTAACCAATGCAATGGGTGACGGTGGAATTGAATATATTGTTGGTGCCAAACGTCATAATTATCGACACGTGTATGACTACGTTTTCCATCACGATAACACATGTTCACCTTTTTGATAATTAATTTTCCTCTCCATGTATTCACTGAATTCATCATATGGATCCTAGTCATTTGTACATCAACTTTCAGTAAAACCGAATTTCTTTAGTAAAATAATATGGCTTTCCACTTCTGTAACAATAAATTGGTCAATCACGACCGAATCGGTTTTTCATTCTTAGGTTTGTATAGAAATTAGCAGTTCGAAACAGTAAAAATATCGAAAGTTAGAATTGTTGAAAGGTATCTGTTCGCACAAGTATTCATGAAGCTGCTATTGGTACATGATTAATGTTGAATTGTGTTCTTATGGATTTGTGAATTTTATCTTCTTCTATATCACAGTCACATCCTTACTGGTTAGTCTTCTCTTTGCAAAAAAGAGATGATCTCGCAAGTTACTGTAGTTGACGTTGATCATCTAATTTATCTGGAACTTTGTTACTTGTCTTTCATCGATTTTTTTCTAATAAATAAATTTGACTCAATTTAAACTACTTACCTTTTTATGTACTCAATAAACAATCATGCTGAAGTTTTTATGTACACTTTTATCCGTCGACCAAAGTTGATATTATTACCTTTTGAAACGATGAGATCGCATGAATAGTTGAGTTGAGTACCCGACCCCATCAAGGACACAAATTCAGGACGGGCTGAGCCTGTCTTGGGCTCTGCTACTATGTGCTTCATTCTATCATTATGTGTTCTTTAGTATACGATTTGTTGTTGTCAACATAGATAAAATAAATTCAATTGATCATAATCATTTTATTGATTTCTACACACACATACAAAACTACGCAAAAAAAAACCAATTTTGTCATAGCCACAAAAAATGAGTCAACAGTCTAACAAAAAAAAATGAAGATTGATTGAGAAAAGAAATAACTAACAAAACTATAGTAACATTCACACACGTCACCGGACGCGTATTTTGTTTTTGTTTTGAATAGAAGAGATAAAAAGAAAAAAAACGACTAGTGAGGTGCAATAACAACAACAGCAACAATTTTTTAACTGTTCCTATCACAAAAGGCTAATGAACAATACTTAGATATATATATAGATATATGTATATATACATGAACTACCGGAATAAGAAAGAAAAAAAATACAGGAATGTTACAACAGAGGCATCGATATATGGACGAATGAAACGAAAACAAAAAATATCTCATCACAAATGCTTTGTTTTTCTTCTCATGATTATCTAAAATAAATCATTTGTTACATTGATTTTCTTTATTATTTTCATTTAATAATATTGGATTTTTCTTCAATGAAATTATTCGTTGTTCATCTGATTCAGGTATATCAAATAATTCATTATAAAATAAATTGTCATTCTAAAAAATCGGAAAACTAAACTATTTATTTCGTTTTTTAAACAAATTAATATTACCTTTTCATCATTTATTGCTGAATAAGCTCCGTCATATAATGAATTTTGTTTTGATTCATTTTGATGACGAGCAATTAAGGGATTCTTATTTGTTGTTGAATTTATTGACCAATATAACCAATACCAAAGTACAGTTCGAATTTTTCGTGTAGTTATGCGTAAAATACGTAATGCTTCAGCTAATTGTAAAACATCTAAATTTTCAAGAGAAAAATAAATTTATTAAAGAAGAAATAAAGATATAAATAAACCTTTTTCATCAGGTAAACGTGGTTCACCGGAACGACATTTTTCAGTTGCATTATCAATTTCTTGTCGACGTCGATCTTGAACTATATTAATTGCATTAAGCCATTCATCAAGAGTTTCTCGTGTTGCTTCAATATCTTGAACACTTAAACATTCTTTAATTCGTTCATGTAGACGAATGATCTGTTTAAATAATTTTTATTATTAAAATTAAATATCAATCAAATTTTCATACTCGATTATATTCATAATGATATTCAACAATTAAACGATCAACACGTGATGGATTATTTGAAAGACTTAAAAAGTTTGTATTTGTTATATCATTAATAGATGATGGCGAAGATTTATGTAAAATTTGAATACCAAGTTTTGATTCAGTCTAAACAATAAATCAATCTTAAATTCGAAGTTATTAATTTATAAATGTAAAAAGTAATGAACAAGAGTTTACATTTTTATTTTAGTTTTGCACGAGAAATCGAATCGAAAAACTATTTACAAAACATTGATTTTCATGATTGAATATTTTCATCATTAAAAATATGTAGAAATGCTCTTGTTTATTAACAGAAGTTTATGCTGGTATTGATTTTCGTTCTATCTAATAGATGCATCCAAGGAGATTATCTCTCGAAAGCAAATAATCAGAATTCATAGAAAAAATATTTTCTAAGAAGTTATTTGATAGGAACTCTTTTTTCATCTAGCCTTGTTTGATGTTTTACACATTAAAAATTTGAAAACTTACTTCTGAATAACTATCTCGAATGTAATTCAGTTGTTCATAGCATTTTTCAATAGCAATATCTAAACAATAGAATGTCGTCAAAGAATTTTCAATATAAAGAATTTTAATTTACGTAATGTATTTGCTACACCAGTTCGTCTAAAATATAAAAATTAAAATTTATTTATAAATAAATGAAATTAAAAAAGAAAAAAAAATAGTATAGGTGAGTTTAATCTATACTTAAAGAAACGAGGAAGAAAACAAAAAAATTAGAGATTATTTTGTTTATGTGCAAAAGTTAAACAGAAAGAAAACTTAGAAAATTGAGTACCTGTTAGATCGAAAATAACTAAATAAAAGATCACACTAGAAGTTCTGATAGAAAAATGAAAAATATTTTTTTACCTAATTTCTTGGCATGTTGTCACTGGTGATGTTAAATTAGAATTACTTATTGTTGATGGCATTGACATTGTATCATCTAAATCAACGATATTTATTCTAGAAAATTAAAAATAAAACATACGAGATGGAATCGTCATCATCGATGAATGTGATCTAGGATAAATTTGTTGTTGTAACATAATTTTATTTGAATTGGTATCTTGTGTCCATTGTTGATTTAATTGTTTATTTTCTTTTTGTTTAAATGCATTGATAAGACGAATATTTGATGGTGGTAATGACGATGTTGAACTTGATGACGATGATGATGATGATGACGAGGATTGTTGATTGAGATTGTTATTATTATTATTATTATTACGATTTTTTCGATCATTTATTGTCGTAAAACCTGAACTACGTTGTAAACCAATCATCTGACGAAATTGTTGTAATGATACATTTCTTATAAGAGAATTTATACCAGTATGATCACCTTTACGAATAAGAACTTGAATATCTTTTGGGGAATTATAATGAACAGAACATAAATCTTAAAATAATAAGAACAAAAAAAATTAAGAAAGAGTAAAACAGAGCTGTTTTACCAGGAATATTACGTGGATGGCCACTTTCAGAAAATGCTGATAAATTTTGTTTCAATTGTTGTGATGAAATGCTAGAAAGAAAGTTTAAGTTCTCAATTCATAGATTATTTTCATTAAATTTGTAGCAAATTACTAGAGGTGCAACCAGAAAAAAAAGTTGTGGAAGCGAGACCCCTCAGTAATGCTTAGGGCTCAAAGCTTTATAGAGGCGTGGGCTAAACTCCCGTCTGATTATGTTACTAAAATACACTATGAAAGCTTTGAATTTCAACATTTGAAATCGATGACGACAATTCGAGTTATTAATTGAAAAGAATTCTACAGAACATGCTGTTAAGTAATCACATCCATTTATTTGTGAAGGTTAAACAGTGAGATTGAAAATTTTCAAGTATCTACTTTTACATTGTAGAGAGTGTGACTAGCGTCTTCTAGAAGTTTCTTTTTTTCTTTCGCTCAATTCCTATTATTTGAATAAATAGGTTATGAAGTTCACTAATTGAAAGATGAGAATGCTTGCTGTGAAATCTGTTTTAGAAGACTTTATTTTGAAATTTATTGACAATTTATATCTTACGAAATTCTATACGATTTCCTAAAATGAAACTTTTATTTATTAAATCAATTCTTTACTTTTTGATTTGTTGTACATAATGCATTTGTTGATCTGTTTGTTCACTATTAATCCATGGTGTTTGATGTTGAAAAAATGTTGGCATCATCTCAGATTCTTGATATTCACTATTTTCATCAACAATACTAGATACCATTTGATTAAGATTTGCTGATCTAAAATGAACATATTGTTTGTTTTTCTAATTGAAATTTCACCCAAAGATTTCATACCTCATTTCAGCTGGAAAATGCACACTACTATTAAGAAATTTTTCACCATGACCACTTGATGACAAATTAAAATGATCGATATGTCCATTTTCTTCTAAATTCCAAGCTGCATTATGAATTAAATAAGCTCTTAAAACTCGATCATCAATCTAAGCAATAACAATAATCAAATTATTTCGAAAGAAATTTAAAAAATCGCGTTTTTTACTATTGTTGATGAAGATGCTTGTAATGATGATGATAACATTCTTCAAATGTAAAATTCTAAAAAGGAATAACAATATTAAAATGATTTTCTTCCTTTCTTTGACCAAGTTAAATAGCTGAAAGCAAAAAAAAACACTAATGGTATGTATCCACAACAAAAACAAAACATTTTAAAACTAACAGACTGTTAATTGATTTAAGAATCAAAGAACTACTTTTATATCCAATGAATATTTATTTACAATCGTTTTTTTATATTTTAAATCAATAAATTCGTTTTTATTATAAAATAAAATTACAAAAAATAATAAATAAATCAATGAATTTTATATTCGAATGTGTTTCAAGTGACATCTACTTATAGCGTCTATTTGCTATTTCGATGTCTTACTTTTACGCTACGTAGTCAATTGTTATATTATAATTGAGGTCAAATAAGTTTTTGAAAGATGTATGTTCCAATGTCACCTCCGCCAGTAATTACTGCTAATAATAATACTTCAACATCATTAAATGTTGGAGAAAATCCATCATCAAATACAATATTTGATCGATATAGTGCAGCAGCAAAACGTTATAAATATCTGCGACGTTTATTAAGATTTCGTCAAATGGATTTTGAATTTGCTATATGGCAAGTCATACATTTATTTATAGCACCACAAAAAGTTTTTCGTGCTTTTCAATATCGAAAACGTATGAAATATTAATTTAGAAAAACAAAAAAAGATACGTTTTTGTTGTTTGGTTTTTTTTTAAGAAACAAAAAATCAATGGGCAAGAGATGATCCAGCTTTTCTCGTACTTTTAATGGTATTTCTTGTCGGTATGATTTGTTCATAGAAAAAAATTGAATATTTGTTACTAAGATGTTTATTTTCGAATTAGTTTCATCGGTTGTTATTGGACTTGTCCTTGGAATGGGATTTTTTGGTATTGTCAAACTTGTTTTATGGGTTGTCTTAGTCGATTGTGTTCTTGTTGGTCTTTTAATATCGACTATTTACTGGTTTGTTGATTTTTTTATTTTAATTTGATAAGAAAACCAAACAGATTCTTCAATTGAATATTCTTTGCGCTTCTGAGTTATAACTAAAGAAGCCTTTCAGAGATTTGAATTTATGAATATTTTATTAAATTTTTCGAATTATTGGAAAGTTCTTTCGAAATGAATTGAGTTTGAGAATATCCATCGACTGAAAAGAAAAAGAAAATAATGAGTTAAAACAAAATTTAAATGAAAAATTCAATAAGATGTAACGAGTCTCTAGAGATGCAGAATGTGCTGTAGCAAGTGAAAATTTTTCAAAAGCCTTCTCCAAATATAATATGTTTTAAAAAACTCTCTCGCATAGAGGTAGATTCTACGAGTCTCGATTCTCTTCGGTTTCCAGAGTTCTACTCGTAGAATATAAAACTGATGACAATTATTCTTGGTTTCTTTCAAATGATGAATTTATATGAAACCTGCAGAATCTACACGTATAGGAGAAAATTTTTCGAAAACAATTGTCTACAGGAGAAATTTTTGATGCTGAAAATTAGCAAATAAAATTTTTCTTTTGTAGCAATTATAGAACAAAGTTCATCACTCACTTTCGATATGCAAATGTCTTAATATTATGCTTTGTTTCACTTTTTATGTCCTCCAAATGTGGGCAATATTAGTGCATTTCATGTACTGGCATCGCTGTTTAGATTAATTTTCGCTTTGATTTTCCTAATGCACACGTAGCAATGAGTTAGTAAATCGCGTTATCCTGTTCATCTTGAGCTTCGAACATATCACACGCACCTTTATCCTCGATTTTTCAATCATGACTTGAAGCAGCTAGTATTATTTTGTAAGTGAACAATATCCAACATGAAAACTTATATGTCTTGGTTCAGTTATGATAAATCGATTTGGAAATAACCAAGTACCAAAACTATTAATATTATTTGATAATTGATGAAACTAATTTATTTTTTACAGAATATTATTTTAAGTGCGTAGTAGTCTAGTTTCTCTCTTGATTTTAAATATATGTTCAAAAGAAAATAATTTTTGTGTTCTGACGGCAGGAGAAATTTTTCACTTTAACACGCGCCTCTGGTTCATATTAAGCATTAAAAAAGATCTTTAAATAAATTTGGTGATAACTTATTTTTGACTATGTTTTACAGATTAGTTTTAAAGATATCATCGATTGAGTTATATGTTGAATTTTAAAATTTAAATTTGATTCTAGGTATATAGCTAACCGATATTTGATTGCAAATCCGAAATCAAATATTGATGTCGAATGGGCATATTGTTTTGATGTTCATCTCAATGCTGTATTACCTTTACTTGCTATTTTACATGTTGGTCAACTACCTTTTCTCAATTGTTCGTAGAAAATCTAATTGAATAATTAGAAAAATGATTTTTTTTCTTTTTATAGCATTTGCTGTTTCAACAGGTTTTCTCTATTGTCTTATTGGCAATACTGTATGGGCTATTGCAGTCGGGTATTATATTTATATATTATTTCTTGGTTTTAGTGGTATGAAAAAATCAATTTAATAATAAAATTTGAATACTACTTTTGTTTTTATTATAATTGTAGCACTACCATTTCTTCGTAATGTTCACGTACTTTTATATCCATTAACGGGTCTTTTCTTTACTTATCTTCTTTCGATAATTGTTCGATGGAATTTTACACAAATGATTGTGACGTTTTATGAATATCGTGTTGGTCATAAACGATTACCATAGTAGAACTAACAAACTGTACAGTATTATTTTTTGCTATTCATGTTATATATCGTATCTTACATTTTTTTTTGTTTTGATTTAAACAAAGATAAATTTTGATCTTTATTAATATTCAAGAAGAACAAAATTAATTGAAAATGTTTTTTCAGATTTTATATCGTTAAGAACGGTTCAGTTTTTATATTACAAGAGAATAAGTGTAATTATTTGATAAGTTTCTTTTTCAACATCATGAAGAGGCTTTCTTGAAAGCGATGTAATGTGGTCCTATGGTGTAGCGGTTAGCACTTTGGACTTTGAATCCAGCGACCCCAGTTCAAATCTGGGTAGGACCTCTCTTTTTTTTCTTGTGTTTCTGAACATTTTTTTCTCCTCTGCTTCTTCTCTCACCATGCGTTCGTCAGATCAGCCAGAACGATAAAAAACAAAAGGTTATATATCGATAGTGGAAGGAAAAATGACGTCAGTCATCGCGTGCTCTCGCTTACAGAAAATAAACACGAAACAGTAGTGTGTGTTCGGCTCGTCCAATTGTATATTGTGAGAATTTCAAACGTTATTTTTCTTTATTTACTTTTTTGTTTTAATTTTATTTTGAAGTTAAATCTTTTCTGTTCGAACCTTAATCATAAGGATGGTTGACCGTTTCATTATATGCGGTCGATTCGTCTAGGGTAGTGAACAGCATCTCGATAATAAACTATACAAAATAAAGTCATGTGGCGTTTAGCCAATTGTGTTTATCGTGTTTTTCGTAATACAGCTGCTCATTATTATGCACAAGATGTCCTTATTCCAATAACAACTATTTGTAGTACTGATGATGATTCAAATATAAAACGGTATAAATATTTCTTGCTTTATTGATTTATTTATTACAGTTTTAGTATTTGTTTTAGAAAAGACAATCATTCAATTCTGAAAAAATGTGATATTAATCGAATATTAATAAATAATCAATTAACATTTAAAAATATCGAAAGATTACAAGATTATTTAAAGAAATTTTCTATTCAATTGGTTTGAAATTCGTTTTTTTTTAATATAAAAAGAAACAAAATAAAGTTTTTTGCTTATTAAATTTAGATAACACAAAAACCAAATGATATTAAACAAATCGAAGCTGTCAAACCTGAATGTGTGGTTAAAGAAGTTCAACCAATTTCTCCTCCGCAGAAAAAAGAAGAAACTCTTGATTCATTACTTCATGCTGATGAAATTTATATGAAAACACTTAACGATCTTTCTAATTTGCATGAAGAAACAATGTCAATAATAAATCTTCAATTAGCTCTTGATGCTCTCGAATCCGGTAATCTACAATTTGGTATTGAAACTCTTCAAAATATTGCTAAAACTGGAACAAATGCAGCAGCATTATATAATCTTGGTATTTGTTACGAACGAGGTATTGGCGTTGAACAAGATCGAGCTAAAGTAAATAATTTCATTGAAATTTTTTTTCAGAAATCTTATTTAAATTTACATAGGCATGTGATTATTATCGTCAAGCATCTAGTTTAGGTCATATAAATGCCCAATTTAATTTAACACTCCTTTCAAATCATATTGATATTGATGAAACTGACGATGAAATAATAGAAGAAACGATAACTGAAAAACCAAATCAACCTTTACGTGATAGGTTTATACGTTTTTCATTATCAAATAATTACAAAGAAGATCATCCATTCAATGATAATCAATTTGATTTAACAAGTCAAACAATTGCATGTTTATCGTAGACATTAATAGTATTTTTTTCTTCCTGATTTTAACTTTAGTGCGTAGTGAATATAACGCCAAATCTTATAATTAGAAAACTGACGGTTGACTCTAGAGAATTCCTGTTATTCTGTATTTTTTGAGTGTTTGTTTATTATTGATTGTTAACATTTCATTTTGTGATTTGTTTGAAAAAAATCAATGCTATTTTTTTTTGGTTTTTTTTAAAGATAAGTGTTGTATTTGTTTTGCAAAGGACATTATTATGAGCAATCTTAGTACAAGGTAGGCACACGTTCGGCTTTATTATTTTTTTTTTCTATAATTGATCTTTTTAGAACTCTTCGTGTTACTGTACCACATGCAATACGATCGAAAATAATCGCTGGTGGTCAAACTGCACGACATGAAAAAATCAAAGCTATCTTAGGAGAATTATTTCGACATGAACGGTAAAGTAGATTTATTCACATTACTTATGATAACCGGTGAATCATGATGAAACGGACTAAATGTAAATGGAATTTTTCTCTCATTTAAAGTCATACAAAATATTCATTCATATATCAAAAGAGAGAGAATTATATCTTTTATGTGGTTGATTTACTGTCGAATATTCAAGCTCTACTAGGGAGCTGCAAATCTCGGTGAAGTATCTTTCATGATGATTTTGACAGGATTTTTTAAATAATGAAGTTTGTATGAAGTTAAAATTCAGTTACAAAAGCCATATTTGGACACTACAAAAAATGTAAAATTTCGTTCTCTACAAGAAAGACTACACGGTTGGCAAATCGATGTGCGATATGTTTTCGATATAATACATGAAAAATCGTGCAAACTCCAATATGGATTAAAATTTTTGTCATTTATTATGTCCGAAATTTTTGCATGAACCAGCTGTTTAAAATTTTGAAGTATATCCCAAAAGATAGACGAGTTCGTCGAGAATATTTTCGTTTGTTTTTAGTTCCGTAGTAGGAATATACAGTGCACATCAATGTGTTGGTTGCTTCGAAATTAAAAATAGTTCTTTATAAAAGTGAAGTACGTACTCTTGCAGAACGTGATATTCTCCATCTTTTGATACATAAGAAAATATTTTATATGAATAAGTAAATGATTGATAAATTGCATTTACAATTACTTCGTTTCATTATGGTGTACCCGTTATTTTCAACGATTAGTATATTATATAGAAGTTATAACTTATTGATTAACAATATTATAAATAAATTATATAATTATTTTTATTTTTTATTTTAACAATGTAAATTTAATTTCTATAAAAACAAATAAGTATTATAGGAATAAAAATAGCATTATGTTGATAGTTTGATTTTGGTTGTGAAATTCAGATGACATTACGCTCTATCTTTGATGAAAATGATCTTTCAAGTACAGTGTTTCATTTTGTAATAGGACTCATACTGAAAATCAGAGTTCATTTGATTTACTAAATCGTCCACAAATAAAGTGATCGGGTTGATTTAATAAAACAATATATCAAGTTGGTATAGAAAATTTAACGAGATTATGATTAGTAGATAAGAAATCAGAAACGATATGTGATTTGAAAAAAAATACAATGGTCTTTTGGTACTTATTGTTTAATTCATTAGATATGTCCAAATGTCGAGACTCATCTCTCGATAGCATGTGGCACATCGTAACTGAGCACTTTATCCTCATTTTTTCTATTAGGCGTCCAAATCAACGTTAAATAGATGAGTGAGGAAAAGTATATACTATTACGAGAAACTTAATCCAGAGACTTGAATAAATTCAATGAATTCTAAACATTAAATTTTAGTAAGTCGTGAATAAAATTTTCGTTTATTTATTTAGGATAGAAGGTTATATTCGAACACATGACGAAACAAGACAATATGCCGAACGTTTAATTGAATTAGCTAAAAAATATGGTGATAGGTATGTTTGAATTTTTTCTATTTTTTTGTCTTTTGTTTCTATTATTCGTATTTTCAATTGATTTAATTTTCAGTCATGTTGGCACAATGCAACTTATGGTATGAAACTTTCTATTCTTTTTTTGTTTAATTAATTAATTATTATTTTAAATTAGGATTATTGGATTAATGATAAAGATTTAATTCATAAAATATTCAAAGTATTTGTTCCTCGATATACAAATACAATAGGACCGTATACAAATGTATGTTCTAGAGTTTAATTTAATATTATATTTTAAATGTTCTTCTTGATATCTTTTGTTTAGTCTTATCGTTTACCAATCCAATATGGTGAAGCTAAATATCCATATACACCCCGTCAAAATATTGTTCTCGAAATGAAAGACAATCCATATCCACGTATAATACCTGATCCAAGAAATTATTCAAACATTTTAACGAATGTTCTTCTTGATGAAGCTCGTAAAGAATATCGAACAGAACAAAAGAATCGAAATGAGAAAAAAGATAAATAAAAAGATACATAGGTTTTGTTAACTTTTTTGCTAATCTTATATGTTGAATTTCGAATGGATGAATGTCATTTAGATAGACAAAGAAAATCTGATAAATCATTCACTAATAAATGAATTCGATCATTATTTAGTATATCTTTAAAAGTAACATTCATTATTGTTTGTGATAACACAAATACAGTGGCTCTAAAATTGATCATACAGATTTAATTTCGATATTCTTTCGTAATGGTAATTCGCATAAAGAATCCAACTACTAATTTGAGTAGAGAAAATTGTTTTCAACAAAGATGTGAGGAAAACACAATTTTCACAGCATTTCTGGAATATTGTATCTCTCAAAAAAAAACAAAAGTACTTTTTCAGTACCCAAAACTCGAAAATAAGAGCAACTGGTTCTCTTATGAATGTCAAGTCTTTGAGCTCTTCATCACATTTTTTGACTGAATGAGATAAATTTGAAGAGAAACTCAAGAGCCCCTTTGTCCAGTTTTTCCTTAAGAAATGGAAAAAACAATTTTAGGGTTTTAATTTCTCGATACATGGATCGAAAACTTATTTTGTGTTACGATGATCTAACGATCGAAGAGTTGTACAGTTTTCTTTCAAACATTGTTACAAGTTCTATGTTCCTATATGATGAATTTTTTTCCGAAACTTCGATATATAGTTCAATTCGCTACACAAAATGACGACTTTGAAGTGAAAACTCAGTTTTCTTTCGAAATAATGAAAACGATTTTCAATAGCAACAGTGATTAGATAAAATGCTCTTGTCGTCTTTCGAAGATTTGCTCATACGCAAGATTGGTGATTGAAATTAACAAATGTATTCGTCAGTCGTATATTTTAAACTAAGCTTAAACCGTTATGACTACACATAAATATAATTTATTTAATTTACGTTCGATTGAGAAAAGCTGTGAAGCATTGTCACAGGATCTACAATGATAGCTAAGTCTATGTCTGTTATCCATTGTTTAGATGAACACCGCGTCATAGTGCTTTATTTTCAAAGATAATTAAAAAGTTAATTGTATGTAATTAATTGCTTGTACATTTCTTCAGTTCCAAAGACTTGAAATTTCTTTATATTATTCTTAGTAAGAACATAAATTCAATTTAAAATCATTCAATACAATTATGTTTACTATTGAATTACAATTCATGATTTCTGTCAATTTGACAATACAGTAGACTTCGTATTTTTAGTTAATACAATTTGAGAGTATTTGAACCAGATAAGTAATGAACTTCTCCTACTTAAGTAACACATATCACAACAATTGATCAGAAATTCTCATGAAAAATTATTTCATACGGTACGATCTCTTAGGAATCTTTTAAAGCATTTTCACCATATATGCAAACAAGTTCAAATACGTTTTTCTTGAAATCTGTATTCCATATTTCCCTCAGTGACAGAAAACCAGAGCGAATTGAAAAAGAAAAATCAATGAAAATGAATGGAAAATCAGTGAAGAACTCTCGCACCCCGGAGTATTATAAACTTCATTGGTTTTTTTTATACAATATCTATTGATTTTCAATCAGTCCCAAACTCAGTTTGTCTTCGGATATGCGATACGTGTTGCGTATAATGGAACGTGGATTAAACTCATTGTTCTACTTGGTGCAATATAGAAACATGTCTTTTCGCTAAATTTGACATTTGGACTAATTCGAAAGTTTTATAATCTCATAAATGATGAGTTCAGTTGGAATCTCGGAGTGAAAAACAACATAACCAAGTAAACATAGAAAAATATAGACAGGTATGTCTCGTCTTTAAAACAAATTAATAATAGTTTCATTTATTTTCTTGAGAATAGTGTGAGAACATGAATGCAAAAAAACTGTTTGTATTCTATGTTAGAACTGGTTGAATTTTCATTTACAAAAAAAAACAACTATTAGCAACAAAAACAATGTTTCTACATATATCTTCACCCACTTTAAATAATACTGAACTCTTGGTTGAGCAACAAGAACTTACTGAAAAGAATTTTGGCATGCGTTTTCAAACAACATTATGTATTGTTCTGCCTCTGTGTATAAATCCTTTTATGGTAACATAGGGAAAGAAGTAAAAAAAACTTCCAAGCATCATACAAAGAAAGCGAAATGTGACACTATCTGTAAAATTATGTTGCAACGAATTTTTTTTTTTTATTCTTTCATATTCTTTGTAGCAACAGAGAGGACAATTGATAAAAAAAGAAGTGAAGCACTTATATGAAGCAAAAAAAGAGCTCGAGAAGAAAAAATACAACAAACAACATCACAATTAATGATTTATTTGTCATCAACGCTGCGCGGTTGTTAATATAACAAAAAATAATCATTCGTCGATAACCAACAAAAATAAAACAGATTAAATAAAATTTTTGAATATGTTCTGTCAATACGACACAAGCATTTACTTTCTTTTCGAAAAACATCTTTAACCTTAATCTAACTATTCATCATTATAATATTGTTAAGTCGCTGATTAATTTTCATTCAATACTCGCATCACAATGTTTACAGGTTATTACTCATATAATTAATTTGATCAGTTTCAATTGACTATCGTTAAGTATCACTTGATGATTCACCACCAGCCAAAATCACAAATAACTAAGTAAAACATAAAGTTAAAAGAGTAAACGAAGTTTAATCTCCCTACAAACATGACTCAGAATTGGTTCTTCATTAAATTCATCCGTTGTAATAATGAATGTAATGCAGAGTCCAGCATGATGTTTCATTGAGATTAATCTTTTGATCTTCAACGATTATCTAAACCATCTTGAATTCTATCCTCAATTTCTTTCCATGACAAACATAGATATTTAAGTATAAGAATTTTTACTAGTGTTGCATGATTATTTTGCATACGATAAAGATCTTTATAATTTTTTAGAAATGATGGAAGTTAACCTATTCTTTGTTTAATATCATATCGTTTAAACAATTTTCTTCTGATTAAAGATGATACTTTAAGTATTTTCTGAGTATTTATCTTTAGAAAATTGGAACGTTAAATTGAACTTTGATTTCAGATCTATTACTATCACAATTACAATAGAACGATACTATATTTGTGCGTGATCAATTTACAGAAAACGTGTTCAATCAACATAAGAAACATTGATCGATCATAGTAGACAAGGTGACATCACTCAAAACTACAATATGTATATAGCGTTATTGTTATAAGCTTTTGGATAGTTCTTGGCATATTCTAATCTGTAATCGATTATAAACATGCATCAAACCCAAACGTTTGGGTTCGGTTTCGGATGTGGTCACTTTCAGNTTTAGATTAATCTTTTGATCTTCAACGATTATCTAAACCATCTTGAATTCTATCCTCAATTTCTTTCCATGACAAACATAGATATTTAAGTATAAGAATTTTTACTAGTGTTGCATGATTATTTTGCATACGATAAAGATCTTTATAATTTTTTTAGAAATGATGGAAGTTAACATATTCTTTGTTTAATATCATATCGTTTAAACAATTTTCTTCTGATTAAAGATGATACTTTAAGTATTTTCTGAGTATTTATCTTTAGGAAATTGAAACGTTAGATGAAACTTTGATTTCAGATCTATTACTATCACAATTACAATAGAACGATACTATATTTGTGCGTGATCAATTTACAGAAAACGTGTTCAATCAATATAAGAAACATTGATCGATGATAGTAGACAAGGTGACATCACTCAAAACTGCAATATGTATATAGCGTTATTGTTATAAGCTTTTGGATCGTTCTTGGCATATTTTAATCTGTAATCGATTATAAACATGCATCAAACCCAAACGTTTGGGTTCGGTTTCGGATGTGGTCACTTTCAGTTAATAAATAAAAGAAAGCAGATGCAAGTCAAAAGTAATGGTTTCAGACTTGCCCATGGTAGATCTAGACACAGTGGAATAGATGATCCACAAATTGAACGTCTGCAGAAGCCCTTGAAAAGTCAACAATGTTCAGAAATACTCGAACCCAAACTTAATTGAAGCTTAGGGTTTTTCCATGATTGTTGATATATCTCAAGAAACGATTGAGTAACTACCCGAATACTTAACTCTATTTGAACTGGTTGGATAGCTTCTGAACCTGAACCGTTCGTCTTGAACATCGTACCATAGTTTGGGTTCAGTCCTATTCTGAAATATTTCAACGGATATTGATCAAGACAATACTCTTATGAATGATATTTTTTATTTAGGTCCCGCTACATCAGTTTTCACTTTTTTTTCTTATTTAAATTAAAATGAATAACAATATATTCGACAACATCACAAGTCGATTATCTGTTCTGATTTATCTATAAGCAATTGCCGTTTTTTCTTGCTTCATTGTACTCTATCTTTATTTAAGTTTATGAGAATTTGTATTGATTTGTTTTTGTATGTTGTTATTATTGTTATCTTCATTGATATTATGATTGCCTAATTGTTGATCAGAATGACTTTCTTGTGTTTCAATATTCACTTGTGAACCAAGTGGACTTCCTAATGGACTGTCAATAGCATCACGAAAGCGTTTCGACCAACGTTGCACGTTAGCATAAGTAGGAGCTTCATCCCCTAAAAACATCACATATATTCTTTTCGAATAATATTAATGAATAGATTCTAACGCACCGAATGCATTTTGTAATTCGAGAAGAATTTCTTTTGGACGATAACCCAAAAAAGTACGAATTTTAATATATTGTTGAAATGATTCGGCCATTTTTAGTATTTAAACCGATGAATGAATTCGATGAGAAAAAAGAAAAAAAATCGGAAAAGTTTGAAAATATAACAAAAGATTGACAATGAAAAAAATCGACGAAATGAAGTAAAATGATAAATAATTATCAGCTAAACAATTCCTTAGTAACTAAACAATGAGCGCTAAACTTGATTTTCTCTATGAACAATTCTAGCAGAAAACAGATAGATATCCATACTTTTTTATACTGATCTATGACGATAAAAACTACACTGTCTCTTATGTTAGTGTCTCGTATGAATGTTATATGACTTGTTTAATTAAATTATTGTATACAAGTATATACATAGCATGTCCTAAAAGCGAATACTTGATTTTAGTTCATTTTTCACTAACATCATGAACTTCAGAAACTTTTTCTTCTGTAATTTTCGACAATCTTTATGAACGTTTTATATGTTTCATCGTACGAGTTTCATAAAAGCATTGAAATGTAACTTTAATGCAATCTTCATTTGGTGCATTGTTGCCGAAAACTTGACTTGTAGCCTTCGTTTCACAACCATAGGTGACTCGAATTTGATCATTTATGAAATTATTTTTATTCGAACGCTAATAACCACACAAATTTATCTTAAAATCCACAGAGAAAAACTTTAAAGAACATACTTATAAATTAAGTCACTTGAATTGTATAAGAGATATTTACGTTAACTTTCCAGACAAACTTTTGGAAATAAAAATAGCTTGTCATAGAGTAAATGACAACTAATTATTTATCTTTATCATTTCCAAACTATAATAGTTTTTAAACAATTGATTTTATTTTGTTTTTGATACTCGGATTGAATATAGTTCATGACAATTAACATTCAAAGTTTTATCAGAAATCTTATCGTCCTAATCAAATATGTAGAAATGTAGATTTCCGCTATGTTTTTTCCGTCCAATTTCACAACTAAAACAGTCAGTTTGGACATCTTTCGATAAAAGTGTAATAGAATTATATATAAATGTTCAATTAATAAAAAGTTCAGTATCACTTCTTAGAACATCTAATAATGATTGTACAACAACAAATTTCTTTAGTATATGTATGCTTAAAACTGTATTGTCTAACATCCAATATTTGTATACCAAAATCTGTTGGAGTCATAACAAAATTTATGATATATGGCATGAATATTATCAATACAATCTTCTCATTTAACTTAGTTTTAACAGTTAACTAAATTCCATATATCTTTTATTGTGTGAAAAAAATTTCTTTTGCTTGTTTTCATTTAAATATCTCCGATTTCTTTCTTTTATAACCAAAAAAAAACTACAGATATATAAAGAACATTGAATAAATTATGAACGCAAAAAACTATCTGATAAATGTCAAGAAGTCGAACAAAAGAGTTCCGATTATGAAAGCATAATTAAAATATCGTGAAAAAAAATTTGATTTTAAACATAACATTCACAATTTATCGTTCACTTGTTTATTCTAATTGAATACAACATTTACATCAACATTTTCTTTTATTCAATAATACAATGTCAGCATGCCCCATTTACAGGCTAAACCTAAGTTAGTTTTTTTTTTACAATAACATCACCATCTATCAAATTGATCGTCAAGATATTATGGTATTCTGATAAATTTAATTCTACTTAGATCAGCATTAATCAAAGCTTTTTTTGTGGAAGGAATAGAAAAACGAAATATGACACTTTACAAAGAAGTATGCATAAACGACGTAATATTTCATATTCAAAAGAAAAAGCATTATCGAGTTGACAGCTATTCATAATTGTGTTCGAAGCATGTATTGGCGATAAAAAGAGATTGTTAAAATGACATTTATCAAAAAAAGAAAAATATACTCTTTCGAGATGAATACATCCGATATGAATCAAAGGAAAATTTTTCATCATAATCTTCATTTAGGTTTATAATAAAATGATATGATTTTTACATTTTTGATCATTATCAAGATGAAGTTAGCTGTTTGAATATGTACCTAAATATGTTGAAACTACGAATGAGTTTAAAGCAAAAATATCTGTGTTTCTTGTGAAATATTTCGTACTAAAATTTTTATAATCACTTGTTCGATTCTCAATACATTCTTGTTAAGATACCGAATTCTTTTGAAGTCTAAAACTTATAGTAAAAAAAATTTCAAGCAGTCGGAGGCACAACAATGAGACTAATATTTACTTATTTGAGCTAATATGTGCTATTGACTTTTACAGATTTTCTTTTTTCTGAAAGTTTTATAATATCCATCGACAATAATGTCGGAATGTGAGAAATGTGATAATGTACTAGTCAACAACCCGATGTAATAGCAAGATTTATCAATATTTGCTTCGTGGTTTTTCTTTATCATCTGCAAATATATATATTTTGATGAATATGTAAAAAAAAATATCTCAATAAATACTACTACTATATTTTAGATCTTTTCTATAAGATAAATTGAATCTTTATTTATGGCAATTTTCAAAAGGCAAGCTACAAAAATCTATTACGATTCAAATTTGTTTTTAATCAAAAATCGATTCATAAAATATTTTTTATTCTCATGATAATGCAGAGTAGAATTAATAATTAATCACTCAATATATTTTCCATTAAGTATCATAATGTCAAGTATATATTTTTTTTCTTTGAATTATTACTAAATAAGTAGAATTCAAGGTGAAAAGAAAGGCATAAAGCAATCGCTTACTTAATATTATATGACGAGTATAATAAGCATCCACTCGAACATGTGCTAGATATAGAAAATCGATCTAAATATAAGAATAAATAAATAATACTAGTACATATTTGGACTTAATTGTTTTATCATATGGCTTTGTTTTATAGTAAAATCTTTGAATGAAAATTGATGTAATGATATTTTCTTTTTGCCATATCATCTGTTAATTCGTATAGAATCAAATGAAGAATTTCTAAGTTCAAATAAACTATCAATCGAAACAAAATTATTTATCACATCTTCAGTCATATTTTCTACATTATGAATGAATATTATCTACTATATACTTGTTGTAATGATAACAATTCTAATTAATAAGCACTTGTTTTGGTATATATCAAAACATTTTTTTTCTAACCGAAAGATTGGTCAATGTATGCCAATAATGCATCAAAGGAATACCACTGAGCATAATAAATCACAAGAATGTCATTTATATACTTTATTACTCTGCTGTACTAACAATCATCAATCATATTCGATACATCTTGTACTGATATGTTGATATTCTAGTTTTTTTTTTTTTATATCTTATGTTTATTTTAGCTAATAAAGATTGATATGAAAGTATCAGATGAGATAGTTTTTATTGATATCACACTTTAATAATAGAGTTTATGTCGAAGAATAAATTATTTGAAAGTAATATATGTAAACAATGATTGTCATATAAGTTCCTGTGTTCGTCAAATGATTTATATTAAAGCTTTGTAATACTTTTGTCATTATTGTTGATGTTCCAAATTCTAAGAATTACGAATATGATTGATAGTATAAGAGATTCCAATAAAATTCATATTTTTCTAAAATATTCTTTTGTTCTATTTAAATCAGAAGTTACAATCAAGTATCCTCGTTAATCATTTATTCATATATATATATATAGCATATTTTAATAATATTATACTTCTAATTTATGATTTCTTCTAGTAATAATCAAATTAATAGATTGATTCGTAAATCGAAGTATTTGATTTTTGTTTTTTAAAATTATCGAATGCTTCAATTTATTAGAATTATTCATTCCTAAGAATATTGATTTGAATATTACAAGAAACTTGAGGACAAAAGAAAAAATATCTGCATCATCATTTTGTTGAATTAAATAATGTTCACAATGGTTTTCTTATTGTTCTGCTAGGATGTGCGTCTGAGAAACATCAATACTAAGAACCCGAAAACCTGTCTGTCAAATCTTCGACACATAGATAGCAATTTCTATAATATAATACTTAAATCATATTTCTATACTGAAATGACTGTCATTCAACAGAATTATTGAATTTGGAACAACATATTTTAACAATATGTTCCTATGATATATATGAAAATTATTATTTGATCAGTTAAACAAAAAAAAAAAGCTTTATATCCAATAAAAATATTTTCAAAGTAAAAATCATTGTTTTTTGCATGTTCATTTTCTTATAAAACTTGTTTGTCTCAATGAATTTATCTATTCAATCTATCTACTGACACATCGTCATTTATGCAAGATTAGATAACACTTTCTAAAAGATTAATCTTTGTCAGTTATCTTAATTAAATTCTTATTCTGAAAATAAGTAAATTTCACATTAATAAAACACAAAGGTTTATCGCGTTTAAAAGAGACAATAACAAAATAAGCGTACATAGAAAAAGAAAACGAAGTCAATGTTCTGTATGAATATTTAAGCTATATTTCTTCTAATCAGCAGAGCAGCTTATATGGGATTATTTTTCGTAGAACTAATATTTGTTAAATAGCATATTTCAATTCAGAAAAAAAAACGTCAATAATCTAAAGTTTTCACTTCCGAGCATCGTCACCAGTTAGCCAGTTTAGAACATCGTTAGTTTTTTCTTTTATGTTGTTGAGCCAAAATGCCATCATAACTCATTTACATTGCTTTCATCGCTTTGCTTAAGGTCGTTATACTGCTACTTCCGGGTATTATTCTCGCATCGACAATCCTTCTTAGAAAAAAAAAAAAAAATTTCCAAAGCCATGTGTTTTGTATCTTATTGAAACATAAAAAAACGCAAGTAAAAATAATTAATTATTATTTATTGTGTCAATATTGATTCAGGAAGTCGATAAATATTTAGATATATTAATATATTTATTTGATTGATTTTTCTAATTTGTTGATTTAATTTGAATTAAAATAAAATAGCAAGTTAAATAATAATTTCAAAAGCAAAAAAAAATGTTCTCTCTCAATCAACAAAAAGTACGTCTTCTTTATCAATTTGTTTATTTTGAATATGTTTCACGTC